GGCGGGCGCTTAAACGCACTTCCGACTCGGCCTCTGCCAACGCTTGACTCTGAAAGCCCGTGTAAAACGGATAAACCGTATGACTGCAAGTCGTCGCCTGAACTCAGAGTGTGCACCGAAACTGGAGCACACTGAAGCTCTTAAGCTCCGAATGAAATGAGCCCCTGTCACTACAGGAAACAGGTGCTTGTCCGGGTAAAGACAGCCGTTAGCTGAGTGGAGAAGCATTTCGCCTACTCCTCGAATCAACCACTTGCGACGAGGATGCGCCAGGGAGCTTTCTTCACACCCCTGACGCTTCCAGCACCTTCCGCAACACACCGGTGGCTCTCGCCGACGTTAACCACCGTTACAGCAGAAAAGGCGTTGCATACAGTGGAACACTGTCCATGTACAAGTGACCGTGGCAGCGGACAAAAACTTTACATAGAGTATCAGAGCAATCCATGCGCAAGTGTCAGACTTTGCGTTTGATATCATAACGGATGCCCGGCTTCCCTGCTCCACCAATGTGTCTATATCATCCATCACATGAAGGAATCAATGCTCTGGGTGACTGTGTTTGCGAATATCTCACGTGACCTGATGGCTTTCAGCGATATGTAACTATCGTTCTTCTCGTCGTCATCATCATCATCATCGTACGTGCTCTTTTGTCAAAATACAAACAAGACAAACGATTGTATCTTTAAAAACGATTACCCTTCTTGTTGTCAATATTGGTTCATTGCACGGCTCCGCCATGTCTCTCGGTCTCAGCCCTGGGGATTAACTCGCATTTGCTTTGACACGATATTCATTTACAACCTTTTGCACGTAAGTCAATCTACGTGTTCAACATGTTGTCCGGAAACAGCTAGGCAGCCCGATGGGCCGGCAGAAAAAGAGAAAGAGACGTGCTAGGCGGCTTGCTGAATGCAGAGACCAAGCCAGGAAGCACGGGCAACGGGATGAGAATGAACTTAGGATATGAAGAAACAGTGTCACGTCCATGGGCAGAAACACTGGTCAAAACGAAGCGTACTCAAGCACACGCCGATGGATCATGACATCTGCAGAAACAAATAGATAAATCGATGATTTTTGGTGTGCGGTGCACGGTGCACAGACACACGTGCAGGCAGGCAGGCAGCTACTGTAGCTGTGTACTGGCGCAAATCGAGGCCTGTATGTGCCGTCAATGGCCCACACACTGCAGTCGCATGTGGCATCCACTGTGCACCGATCTTGGCATTCGATGTAGGAGCGAACCTTTGCAACAGAAACTACTGGCTTCTGATCGGGCATTTAAGTTATACAGTTATATACGTATACAGAAACCGTATTATTACTGCAGATCCCCTTTGCGCCAACTTAAACCAAGTTTCTTAACAACAACCCAGACTGTGACTATGCAAAGCACTGACAGGCTTATCATGGAAGTCAGAATCATCTTCAAGGCGTGCCCCACCAGGATTTGCATTCGTGTCAATTATCTTTAGAGCCTGGTAACCCAAAGGGTCCAAGTACCATTCTAGTAGGTACTTAGTGGGTATTTGGGCCCCCAAAATATATACTATACTAGTACTTGGACCCTTTTGGTAAGAAACATAGTGCACTCAGAGCAGCCACTGCTGGTTTATCCCCTGACAGGGCAGGATTCGAAGGCGCGCAGGAGGAGAGTGGGAATCTACTTGATGAGGCCTTTCCTTCGCAGGGCCTCACTCTTCGCTCCGCGAACCTCAAGAGTCGTAATATAGTAGGGGCCTTAATAATTGGAGTAGGGCCTTGGGGCCCACTATACTATACTTATAATCAGGAACCCCCAAAATAATATAGGTAATTATTAAGGCTAGTGTTTTATAAAACAATAATATAGGTAATTATTAAGGCCTCTGGATTATTCGGTTCGTGGCTTGTGAAGGTCAGGGGCTTTCAATAATGCCACCAGCGAGGGAGCAGATTTTTGACAGCCTGCCTCGATCGATGTCCTTGGAGCCCAAACTCCCGTAGGTGTTGTAGCGCCTATACCTTACCATCACAACTTTTCGGGTTTAAGAATTTAGGAGTTAGGGCTAGGGCGGCTAGGGCCCTCAAGGGCTTCGAGGCATTTGTGAATGGGTTCAAAGACTTAGGGGCGCAAGAGTGCATGAGCGCAGGGTGTGGGGCCAGGGCCAGCTATCAATGCCTCCCATGCATGGCGCCCAGAAACATAACACACCTCCAGCCCTAAACCCTAAACCCCTAAACTCGCACGTCATAATCAGCAGAAGCACTCCGTGTATTTCGGCTTGGCGCTCGGAACTTTCATCAGCATGAACCTGGCTGCAGTTCACCGGGCTTCAAATGGTCTTGGGGATAGCCACAGAGATGCGGCACAACCGAAGGTTTGGCAATTAGGGTTTACGTATGGTCTCCATTGTAGTAGCTTTTTGGGCTTAACCACTTGTACATTAAGGATCCGAATTCTGAGGTAATCCCAAGGGAGCTACGATGGAAACTATAGGTATCGGAGTTTAGGAGGACCCTGACCCCGAAGGCCAAGCTCCGGACGTCTCGCTATCCTTCGCGAAACTTGCAGGGTGCCTACGGCAGCCTCAGCACGCAGGATTTCTCTGAGGTTGGAAACCTGGTACTTTTGTAAGGCTTAGGCGGTTCAGGGGCTGCAAGTAAGGTGTATTGTCACTATTCTACGTTCGAGGCATTCACGCAGGGAGCTTTGGCCAAAGCTGCTCAGATCCACTTCTCCGTGACAGTGAGTGACTGTGTCTCTTCTGTACACGTGTATGTACATCTCTCGCTCTCTCTCTTTCAAGCTCTGTCTGTGCATATAGGAGATCGTGATACGATCCCGGTGTGCTGACTATGCTATGCAAATGCTCGTGTCTTTTATCGGTCTGTGCTCAAGCATCTTGCCATGCACGACTCCACCTCTGTCTGCACGACTCTGGTGTTTAGGGTTTAGGGTTTGGGGTTCTGGATGTATGAATCTGTCCATCCACGGCTATCTTCTGGCATCCTTCTATTCCCAAGTCCGCAGTAGCTGGATGTGCAAATTTCCGGAAACGCAGGTACGTAGTTAGGTGCCGAGGCCAGCAGTTGAGCGACAGGCAAACAGGAAATTAAGAAACAAATTAAGGATAGAAGTAACTCCAGATGCATGCCTGTGTTATTTGCGGCAACCCGTGTTGAGTACGTCTTGGGTGTAGGCAAAAGAACAAGCGAGTTGTTATCTGAATCTACGGAATGCATACTCTGCAAGATGATACCATACCTGCCGTGTATGCGAACCATCCGTAACCGCGTCTCTACGCCAATGTAGGCGGCTGTGGCTTTACAGAGGAGGTGTATGTGCCCTGTGCCAGTTTTCGTGTGCGTGACTGAATGAACTATGCATGCATCCATCCATACCCACGTGCCGGCATGTGGTGCTTTGCAGTGCGAGGCGAAGTGCCTCATCACAAGTTCCATCCGTCTGCAGAGCGTGCAGATGCACAGCAGAAAGTGATCCAGACAAACTTCGGAGTTGCGACGGCCGAACTAACACCCGCGCTGCTACTCAAGGCGCGGACCATTCCATCGCTGACAGCTCCTGGCTCTCCACTTCTATCTTTTGGCTTGTGTCTGAGAGCTTTAATCTGGAGATCAGCTGCAGCCTCTGAAAGAACTCCGTACTCTTTCTGTAGAGGCATTTATAGCATGCAAACCCAAATGTGCCAACGTAAGTGCAATTACTTAACGTATCTGGCCTGGTCTTTGGCCGGTAAGCTGCGCATTCGCAACGAGGATCCTGTGCAGGTCTTCGTGCAGCTCTCGCTGAGCGGGGAAGCAAGACGACTTCCACTATCAGCTACGTGCACAGTCTGGGAAAGCTTCGTCTGGGAAAGCTTTTAGGGTTTTAGGGTTTAGGGTTTAGGGCGCAGAAGGCGGATCATGGCGGATCTATATTTCGCACTGTCACATTTAATGCTTCTCGACACGTCCTTGGTTGAACCCTGTACCCCCATTCTACACCAGATTCTTTGTTCGATGCAGTTTGCGACCAAACCACTCCAGTCTAAGCAGCAAGTCCGTCTCGACAATTCCGGCATACGCAAGGCCACATGTTGCGCACCAAGCCCCAGAAATCTGCTTGCTGCCAGGTGTCGTTGTCACCTGAGACAGGCACGGGCTAATGGTCCTAGTATAAGTTAGCATATACCATTTCCATTTTCTAGCCATGCCCACCCCCCTAGGCCACCCAAGACCCAAAACCATAACAACCTATACCTCAACCTTAAC